AAGGAAGAGATTTCCTTTTCACTCACACAACACCTGAAATTTAAGGGCTTATTTTTTATGATTCGAAATAGTACACATCACTTTCCCTGTGATTTACTGTTACTAGCTCTGCATCAAAACATGTCAAAACAAGATCAGATGATATATATGTAAACAGCTCTACAGCCCAGCTGGTCATTTCGAATAGCTTAGATATTCTTCAAGTTGCCTTAGATTGAAAGTTAACCTTCTAATTTAAAAAAAATAACCCTAGACAGCCTTTTAACTTAAAAATGAAAAACGTGACAAACGCAAGACCTTACCAACTTCCCACTTGAGAAGGCTGTTGTCTTCCCTCTCCATTTTTCCAATGACATACCAGATGCAGGCCATCCAGTGTGCAAGGAGTGCGAACATGGACATGAGCAGAGTCAGGACGATTGTGCTGTGCTGGGAGTAACGGTCCAGCTTCTGCAGAAGACGCAGGAGGCGCAGGAGCCGCACCGTCTTCAGGAGATGCACCAGGGACACCTGTGGTGGAGACAGCAGCCCAAGTTTGTACATGGGTTAAATTCGTGCCATGAACGTACTCTAACTTATAGCCATTGTGAAGCATTCTGAAATAAGCGCAGTCACGATTTCAATCCCTAGGTCACCTTTGTGAATGTTTCTTTGTTGGTATACTATACCCAAAGGATGAAGAAGGATAAGACAAAGATAAGGAGGATAAACTTATTTGAGTAGTCTTACCACACTTAATTAGGATTTATACCCTTTTCCTACTTGACTGATTAAAAATAATTTCATAGACAAGAGAAGGGAGTAAAGGCAGAAAAGAGGCGGTTATATATGATCAAGATGCACTGTCCACATTGACCCTCCCCCAAAATGTGCCACTAGTGAGGAGGGTGAGATGAGAGGAGAGATAGGGAGAATGATTGAAGTATGTTATGTGTATGTGCAAATCTGCCAAAGTGAAACCCTTCCATCCGTATAACCAAAAGGCACTAATTTAAAAAGAAGCGCCATTGTTCCAGAAAAATTCACCTTCAACTCTGTGAACAGTAAGTAAATTCTTGTTGTGTCAGGTCTCTGAAAGGTGAGGTCATCTGTCATCGTAAAACCTGTCATGAGTAATACACTTTGCTAAAAAATTTGAAAGGTTAAAAATGGAACGAAAAATTCTAAAAAAATTAATTTCAGACACTCTGACAGACAACTGAAACATGGTTTTTGAGTGTCAATATAGATGTTTTCATGCTTTATACACATTTTTTTTCAACACTACTTCACCTTCCCCATGGAAAGGATTTGCTTTATAACGATAATTTATGTAGATTAAATTAACTTGTTCATTAATTATGCTGCTTCTTACATTCTCAGTGGGCAGAGCAAACATTCGCCTTAGACATATACATTCTGAGCTTTCACTCAAAAGTGTGCTTTAGAAAATTGAATGGAACAGAACTTTTTGCAAAAATCTCTTATGCCCTACCTTTTCATGCACTAATAAGGTAGACTTAAATTTAACAGGTTATTTTCCTGAGTTTAGGGCCCCGTTGAAAAATATGTGTCACTGGAGTTTACCAGGTTGGGCACTATCGCTATGTAATGAATGGTGTACTTTATTTATTTATTTATTTATTTTTTGTTTGTTTTTTCTCCGGTACCGGGAACTGAACTCACGACCTTGCGCTTGCCAGGCAGGCGCTTTGCCGCTGAGCTAAATCCCTAGCCCATGAATGGTGTACTTAACCCTCACTCTTTTCACACTCTCAAAGAACATTCCAAGTGGCAAACACAGAGTATTAGCTCATGGGAAAATAGAGTTTGGCAAACTTCTTGACCTTAGCTAAATTCTTAGGGGTGATTGTAAGGAAAGAGGAAGGGAGCAGTTTGTAGGTTATAATTAATTACAGTCTTTCCTACATAGAGCACAACCATAAACAAACTCAGGCTGCCTTCTTTTGTATTAGTCAGTCATCTTCCTTTATCTCTAAGAAAAACATACCTATGACAGTGCCTGAAATATGGTTGAAGTTCAGTAAATCCTGATTAGATGAGGGAACGGATCCTTAAATGAAGATGTAAAATACTCTGATCTCAATATAAAAATAGATATTCAGTAAAATTGTGCTCCGTCCTAATCTTGTGAATTATTTTATACTCATCTACAACAAAACTTCAAGGAACTTGTGGAACTTTAAGCGTAACCTTCTGCACGTCCACTTGTGGAACTTGCCAGTTATCTGTTCTTTTCTTTTTGTTCTTTTTCTGTGTCTAGTTTCACCTTCTTCTCCCTTGCAGCAAAGTTCTTACCTATCTTTCTTCAAGCTAGAGGTAAGCTAGATGGTCACATGCTAAGATTTTGCGATCCCTAGTTTATCACTTAGAGGAATTACTAGGGATGTAGTTTATTTGGTAGGTTGACAGACTTGATAAATATGGGTAGTTTTGTAGGAGAGAAGTACTGGATGAAGGAAGACAACTGAACACACCATATTGATGCAATCCCTCCATTTTCTTTGTCCAGAAAAGGAACACCCAAGGGAAGAATGTGGAGCTATCTTTACATGAAAAAAAATCATTTGCAAAACCAGGAACTTGTGTGTCCAGGATGAGACAGTTCTTATTCTTTTGCTACCACAGTTTTAAAAAATCATACTTGCTCCCATCAGAATCAACAGCTTCTTGCTATAAATGTGAATTTTGGGGCTGGGGATTTAGCTCAGCGGCACAGCACCTGCCTGGCAAGCGCAAGGTCGTAAGTTCGATTCCTGGTACCGGGGAAAAAAACTTGTGAATTTTTGTCTTGATGAATGACAGAAAGAGACATGTTTGATCTAAATGTAAATATGTAGTCTGATGAAAAAGAGGATTCTTATTAATGATTTTATCTCTTAGTGCCTTTCATAGTGACATACAAAGTAGGTTTCCATAAATAAATGTGTAAGTTGTAGTTAAAACAATTGCCATGAGCAATTACGGGCAGAGCAAAAGCTAAAGCACATAATACATTTTTCTTTTTCGGTGGCTGTAATACATCTTTATTATCATCTGTGGGGAGACACTAACTGGGTACTTTTTATATGCGGAAGGCAAAAACATTTGTTTGTTTATTTGTTTCTTTTTCTAAGTCTTTGCAGCATAACAAAATAACTCATAAGTTATACTTGAGAAGGAAATATAACATCTTGAGCAAGTTTTTCTGCTCAAACTGAATATTTTATACTTAGTAATTTTTTGAGGAGGACAACATTTTATGTGCCAATTTTTAAAATGATGATATCCTCAGTCCCTTAAAAAGCAGAAAAAGAATCAGAAAAAGAGAAATTTTCTCCTTCCTTTTTGACATGGCTGTTGATGTATACATCGCATTTATGTCAGATTCACAGGACATGATTGAAAGGGAACAAAAGAGCATTGGAAAGAGAAGTATGCAAAATTCATGCAAATATGAGAATTAGACTTTTAAAATTCCTTTATCCACGTTAATTTTATGGAATGAAGATGCTAATGATATGTAAATATATGCTAAATAATTTAAAACATAACATTATAGGTACACTTTAAAAATTGTCCTATTTATTCATTGTCCAAAGAAGAATGAAATATAAAAACTGTATTAGTATTTAGTAGTAAATTGATTTAAAACAGAATTCTATTAAATGGCATTTATTTAACAATTTACCATGAGAATACAGAAAAATTTTTTAACAATGCTGTGAATTATCTACTTCTTCTAGATTCTTTTGCATTCTTGCAAAAGCCTTGTTTTAAGTCATTATGCTTTCATTATAGTGTACTTATCTAGTTAAATGCAATCTTAAAAGCACTTTTGAAAGCCCAGGCAACAATTCAATGTGGCACTGATTGATATTAAATACAAGACTTTTCCTAGCAGCTTTCCTTTGAGTTGCATTATAAACCTCCCAATTCAAACAAGATTACTGTTATATAGGTGACTAACAAGTGCACACATCTATACTGAATAATCAAGACCTCAGTTACATATTTATATTAAGGTCAATAATGACTATATTTGAAGCACTCAGTCTGTTCAATTTTGAAAGCCAGACCTTCACATTCTTAATGTTACTTCTACGAAAGGTTGTCAACTGACTAGAAATTTGTTTAATTGGAACTAATTTTCAGTAAATGTTTACAGGTTGAAGTTGTTTATACTCCCAGAAAATTGAATTAAAGATTCAAAGATGACTTCACGAAAAGTCTCTTATTTATGAGAAGGCGCTTGATACCTTTAAGAATATCAATTGTTAAATAGTAAACAGTTACCGGTGCTAGTGGGGATGCTCTTCCTCCTGCGCGGATTCACACAGAGTGTGGGTTTGAGGAAGAAAGAGAAGGTACACGTCTTTATGCAAACTCAGAGAACTCGCAAGTGTTTCGCTTGTCAGTGAATCCTTTAGGTTTCTGCCTCACTCAACATTTCAAAAAAGATTTCTAAGAAATAGCTAAAATCGCTTAATTTAATTTCAGCAGTCCTCCCTATCTTGGTTATTCTTGGGTTGGTTTTGTCAGTGGATAATGAAACAGTCAAGGTCTAAGGGGTGAAAGATCATAAAATGAGGGAAAAACATCCACAAATTCTCCACTAAAATTTTAAGGCAACTGCTGTATTTCTTTATGTAATGAAAAGGAATGCTTAGGTCGCCAAAGATGGATTCCTTACCCAAAGCACTTTGCTTAGTGAATCCCCATTTACACTAAGTTCAAGCTATTTGTATGCAAGTGTTTTAAGTACATAAATAAGTGGAAACAAGTAGGGCAGATTCCAAAAGAAAGTTACTTCCTCAAAGTGGAGTAATGGGTCTGTATATTGTTGGGCATCTTGTATCTTTGTTAAAAAGAGTACAAAACCCAGGAAGCCCAAACTGCCATAAACCTTTAAATTTGGAACAGAGGAGAAATGCACAAGAGTGAAAACCAAGCTTAAAGCCCCTGTGGAAGGGAGATCTGTACTCACCACTGTGACGTTGAAAGCGTATAGGAGATCAAACGGTAGGGCAGCAATTAAATCAATGATGAACCAAGTGGTGACATAGTGGATGCAGATTGATCTTGCCTCAAAAATAACTTGGCCAGACTTGCTGACGTAAGTTGTTCGGAAATTTAGAATAATATCTGCTCGGGGGAAAATAAGATTGAGAGGGGGAAAAAGGAAGAGAGGGAAAAGAAATGAAAGGAAGAAATGACCAAAGGAGGGAAGAAAAAAGGAAAGAAGGAAGGCAGGAAGACAAGGAAGAAAGGAAGAAAACAATCATATAAAATTAAACAAAACTAGATAAGCAGAAAACAGCTTATTTCAGATTGTTACTACTCAAAATACTCTTGATTTAGTTCAACACAGCAAACAGATATTAAAGAATGGTGATGAAAGAAATATTTTCTGAGCATTTAATATGGTTCAGATTTGGGATTATGTATTGAGATGGAAAATAAGTATAAAAATAATAATAGTCACCAGTAAATCTCACTCTGCACAGACATTGTTCTAAGAGCTTAGTATGGGTTATTTCACTTAACCCTCAAAGCACCTCTTGAAGTAGACAGTATTACTCCCACATTAAAGAGGCAAAAATGACATCCCAGAGAGGAAAAACACTCACCTTCATATTGCCAACAGTGGCAGAGATGATTTGTGCAATACTATTTATTTCTACGTATAAAAGTTTTACTTGTCTCTGTGAACACACGGACTTCATTCCTGCCTGAAGGCATCCCTATTAACAAAATACCAGGAATTTCATGGGTGTATAGGTTAAATCTTCCTTTAAAAATATACTTTATGGGATAATTTTCTGCTTGCTCCTACATTACTTTATTATATGTCTATTGAACTTTTTACAATACATGAAGTCCTCAAGAGTGTTGATCCAACGACAAAGCTGTAGCCAAGTGGGTCATGGTAAAGTCACTCCTACTGCTTACGAATAAACAACTCTGACACTGTCACCTCATTTTCTGGGCTAAATATCATTACGATATTTTCCCCGATTTGTCCCAATCAGACCACAAGGAATTTCAGGAGTGGTACATACATGAAAGGGGAGTAATTGCTGAGCACTTTATAGACTGGTGGCTCTAACACAGGGATTCTCTATGGAAGTTTATTTTCAGAGAGTGCCTTGGTTCAGTTACTGAAGGGTCAAAGGAGAATACACAGGAAATAAATATCTTGGCTAATGAGAGAAGGAATTCAAGAAGTTGTGAATTTGATATTTTTTGGTTTTGTTGTTTGTTCTTTTGTTTTCTGGCTTTTTTTTTTTTTTTTTTTTGAGACAGGGTCTCTCTACATAATCCAGGCTGGTGAACTTACCATGTAGCCCAGGCTGGCTTCGAACTCATGGCAATCCTCCCATCTCAGCCTTCTGAGTGCTGGAATTACAAGTGTTTGCCACCATGCCAGGCTAATGCCAGGTTTTGAGTTACAGAATTATCAGATGAACAGAAGGACTCTTCACAGTTAATTTATTTATTTGTTTTTTATTAATTAATTAATTTTTTAGGGTCTCACTATGTATTTCAGGCCAGCCTTGAAGTCACTATGTTGCCCAGGCTGGCCTTGAATTCACAGTGATTCTCCTGCCTCAGCCTCCCAATGCTGGGATTACAGGCATGCGACACCACACTCATTTCATGCTAATTTAAATAATTCAAGATAAGAGTAGTGTTGTATGAGGCAAAAAATCTGTTGGTGTTATGATCACAATGATAGTGACAAAATTATTCATGAAAATGCTCATTTTATACTTATGTATCACTTTTAAGTTTCATTTCATGTTTACAGACAAGAAAATGCTAAAATAACTTCCAATGACTCTAGTCCTCAAATGATCTCTTTCTTTTGTTAGAGTACAATGTGCAGAGATAGCAGTCTATGAAAGGGTTACGTTTTTTAGCAAAGGGAGAACACCCTGCGTGATCTAACCAGGAAAACCCTCTAAAACCAGGACTTTCATTCAGCTGGTGACAAGGGACTGGAAGTCAGTGAGAGGAAAGTGACTGTCATGTCAAGGAGAATCCCATGTGCCAAGGAACCCATGGGTTCTCCTTGCTGAGAGGAACCAGAGGCTGGCATCTGGTGGGAGAATGTGGACCTCAGTCCTGTAACCATGGAGACATGAATTCTTCCAGCAGCTACATAGGGCTTAGCAAGAAATCTGAGGTCAAAAACAAAACTCAGCTCAGCTGCTGCCTTGATTTCAGCTTTTGGGGTCCAGGAGGAAAGAATCCAGCTAAGACACACCTGGATTTCCTGACCTATAGAAACAGTGATGCAATAGGTATCATTATACACAGCTGAATTTGTGACTTGCTGTGCAGCAATAAAAACTAATGCACTGCTCTTGTCATTTGGAACAGTTGACACACATTCTTAAAATGTACCCAGTATTATTCTATCCTTTTGTCATTGTGGTCTCATTGACTCCTTGTAACAATACTAAGAGGAAGACACTTTCATTACACACTTTTACAGATGAGGAAACAGAGGCATCAAGGGATCAAGTGATCTGTCCACAGCCAGATCACAGCATTAAATTCTTCAAGCTAGTTAGTGAAAGGTTCAACTCTAAGTCTCCCGAGCTCCAACTCAGGGAGTTGAATTTTGTTTCTTCACAATGACTAGCCACAGTACAGGTCCGGAAGAAAGTTCCGAGTGTCCCAGAAAGAAAGCTGTAATTGGTGAAGTCCATTGTGAATGACCTAATGAAATTTAAAAATGGCCTTACCAAAAGTCACATTTTTGCCAAAATTAAAAAATATCTAGATATTTCCATTGCTAATATGGAAAATACGAACAGATGAAGCCAATAGATGAGCCCCTTTGAAAGCAGTTCTGGATCATTTCCACGACAGGGTAAAAATGCTCTCCTGGCAAAGGACCGGTGCACCATCAATGTGACGATGGAAGGGAGGGAGCAGAGAGGGAAAAGCCACCAGTTTCTTCATCAGGAACTTTTCTTTCCTTGTCTTTAATTTTTAAGGCTCATGTGTGTCTGCACTGGCCAAGCAATTTACCATATTAAGCCATGATTTTTTAAATATAGCAGGCATTTCGATGTCAGTGTTTCCAGAAAGAAGCTCGGTGAGGAGTTTAGGTTCTCCTTTTCTCAGTGAAGCATCTAGAATTGTTTATTAAGGCTATTAGCGGTGCTTGGCTCCCATGACACAGGCTGAGGTTAAGTTCACTACCACATTGAAGGGATAATGCCGTTGGATAAGAAGAGTAACTTCCAACATTCTGCAGTACAGAAGGGTGACTGTGACTGACAGCAATTAATTGTATATTTCAAAACAGCTAATATGACTTGAATGTTCCCAGCACAAGGAAATGATGAATTTTTGATGTGACAGATATGCTGATTATTCTGATCTGATCATCACATTTTATATACGTACTGAGATGTCCCATTATATCTCATAAATATGTATGAGAATGTATTGAAAGTAAAAAATATATACATTTTTAAAAATTGAAGAGAGCAATTTCTTGTCTATTTTCTGACTGATCACAATGTCTACCACAAATTTCACAGAAAACCCAGTGCCACAATCCAGACATCTGGTGAACTCCCATGAAAGGAAGAAAGACTAAAATAAATGATATTTGATTGATGGGCACAGGAAATATTTTTAAAGCTACATGGTTAATTATGTTGCTCACTAAGAAGAAAATAGAGGCCTGATTTTTGAATAGAATAGTTATAAAGAATGTAACAGAATATAAATTAAGAGAACTTTAGAAAAATATTTGTTATTCAATTGGGTTAATTGGATGAGATGAGATATGCTAATTTTAGGTTAAAAAGAAGTAATTATAAGACTTTTATACACAAATAGTAAAAGAATAAAGACTGAAAGATATATATTCATATCTATATTTTTTTCAGATCTATTTTTAAAACATCTGAATACTTCGTTTATTTTCAAGGGAAAAATCCAGATGAATAACATATTCTAAGATTTCCAAGACTGAGGCAAAACAGTTGTGCAGTGGTTTATTCAACTTTTGATATCATCTTTGGGTAGTTGATTTAAAAATAAAACTACTTTTGTCATATGCAGAAGAAAGGACATAAGTGGGGAATATTTGGAAGACTTTAAAACATTCCTCAGTTTTTGTAGTCCTCTTTTGGGTAGAAAATTATCACCCTCATTTTACCAAAGACACAGAAGATTCAAGTAAATTGAATTAAGTCATGCAGATAGATAGCAATCAGTAGAGAGATAGGCTATCTTTTGACACTTGATCCCATTTTCCTCCCATTATCTAAGATTATTGCACTTCTAAATACATTTTAGAGGGAATAATGATAGGTCAATGCAAGGAAATGCATTTCTGATTGTAGTTCGTAGATCAGTTCAGCATCAGTACCACCCATGTAAAAGAACATTAAATCAGAGTCACAGAATCAAATGTGGAGAAATGAGCTTCCTTTGATTCTGGAAATACTTCCTTTGATTCTGAAAGGCTGGGTTTTGTTCAGCAACAACTGAGGATGCTTTCTGCTTTCTGTCTGCTCCTGAGGATGTTGTAGTGGTGTTTCGGAACCAGGAGAACTCAGTGCTTGTAAATAGGCCCTAACGTGAAAGGCAGAGGGGGCTAACACAAATTCTTCTCCGCAGAGAGGGAAACAAACAATAAAATTGTGACAAGGGAGAGTTTTCTAGATCTGGTGTCCTTCCTGAGAGAATTGTAGGGGCAAAACCAAGCCTTATAAACACTGGCTGTTGCTATTCCTCCCAGGTTATCATACTTCCCAGGAGAAGTACAATATCTTTTATATCTTTCACTAATTAAATCAATGACTTATTCAAATATTACAGTAAGTCAAATTTTCATCCAAGTAATCTATAACCTGCATGAAAAGCAACATAGTTTCATTTTGAGACATCCAGAAAGTTTAATGTTTTTGATTTCATATTCATACAGGAAAACTCATAGAAGTTTTGTGGAAAAATATGGAAGTATATTCATTAATAACCCAGTTTTGGACACAAACAATATGTGAGTTATCTTGTTGATTCCACTTACTATCATTGTGCAATTATCTGTAAGTACAACACACACACATTTTGAGTCAAAAATATATTTCAACTCCATAGCAAATACATGTGCA